AAAGGTACAGGACCCTGATGTTTTCTCTTCCCGGTGCTATTGATGAGTCAATCTTTTGGTTTCTATTAAGAAATAATTCCTGCATGACTTTTGTTTTCCCCAAAGTAAGAGAAGCCAAATGCATCCAAGGTGTTCTCCCTTTCTGCATGATTAGCACCAAATCTTTTGATCACACCTACCTAGCTGATGAGTTCATGGAGAACACCTTCTATCTCTTACCACCTGTCACAAGACTGGCCATTGCTTGCACTGTTTAAGGCCTATTTAAGTCTCCAGAAGCACATGGTCTGTAAGTCGTGCCGATGATGGTCCGATGACCAAAGCTTTCACTTAACGTTCAAACGCAGTTAAAAAGCCTTTGTTTTTGCGTACATTAGGTTTTCGCACACAGTTTGGAAGTACATGTAATAGCTTAACATTATAAACAACATAAACAAACTGACTTTCCAGACCTGTTTGATTTTAGTGAGTGGGGAGAATACATTAGCAAGCGGCCCAATATTTAGTGACCAGATATATACATGTACTTGGTGGAGAGACCTAGCGCCTGATGTTACACCGGCGAGAAAGTAGAAGCATACAAGTCACTAGATGCTAGATCAAAATGGGTTCTACAAACGGGAGCATCTTTGTTCAGTCCAGTGGGAGTCAACGTGGTTAACATTATGTAGCCATAGATGCTGCCGGTGTTGCGGTTTAATTGGTGACTTTCAGCCAAATGTGTCCGTTGTTGCTCTTAGCTAGTTACGTAAATGGTTGGGGTCGATAATGAACACAGATGAGAATGTGTTTTCAATTTATTGAAGGCTTTAATGAGGATACTTTCATACTTCATTCATGTTTCCATCTGCTGCCATTACTACAAGCAACCACAGACGCATTCGGCTGAGACTCACCAGTTAACACGGTCACTCTTTAAACTGAAACACTTGTTGCTCGAAAACGGTCATGATCTTGTCGGAATTCTGTAGAAAACGCAAAAATCTGACATTTTGATCCTGGCAACAGTTTTATTTCAATGTTTAAATGTTGCTAACTCGTCTGGATGGCTGGAAAAACGCCACTACCACTGCCAACATACACACTCACATTGTTGATGACGTCGGCTGTAAAACGGTCTATGCATTCCCAAAAAGGAAGCATGTCTGATAAGAAACCAAATGTCAAAACTCATCCGTTATTTATTTTAGTAAACCAGACAATAACATCACACTGCAGCATTAAAAGCAAGGAATTATTTTTACCTTGTCGCACCCTGGATTTAGAAGCAGATTGCATCGCTGACAAGACCAATCACTTAACTTGTCAAAGCTATAATTCTTACTTGCAGAAAACCCCTACATTGTCAGTCTTGGTTGGCAGGCAGAGACGGTGAATGACCATTCTTTGTTCACTATCTGCAAAGAGACTGTTAATGTTTGGAGGAAGGCATGATTCATCTTTTGAATGGCCCTTCGACTGTGCTCTTGGAACAATAATCTGCAGTTCTTTCTCCTGTCTGCAGGTGATATCATTGTAAACACTATGGCGGCCATCACACTGGAGCCACCTGGGGTGAATCGTTTCTGGGTGGACCGTGAACTCTTGATGCATCTTGCTCTTAGGATTGATTTGGCATGATCGAGAGAAAAGGTAAGTACGTGATGCCGCTACTTAAAATTCCACTTCCGTGATGTTACGTGTGAGAGAAATCCCAGCATCAGATGCAGATACAGTATGCCCTGGCATTTAATCCCAAGTATGGATCTGTCTCCAAAAATACTGGGTCCTACATGCAATTCCCATAACGCAACTTCATAGAATCTTTTGTTAAAGCCTTTCTCCACTCCACACCTCCAGTTTGCAACAGAGGATTTCTATTAGTCACCAAGCCGAAGGCAAGATGGAAAATAAGCCTGATGACATCATCAGGTCTTTTTTCTTAGACCCCTCCAGAGCCACGGGAAAGTGATTGATTGTGTAAAATTGTGCACCTTTTAATGTATATATTCATGTATATATGAACCCATGTAGGGATGGGAAGATAAAGAATTTTACCGCGGATTGCCATCAAATACACTCACAATAAGTCGATAATGGTGAATTTCCATTATCAGGATAATTCCATTTATGCAAGAGGACCTTATGATTTATTACTTTCCGGGGTTAATATTGTGAATCCCAATTATCGTGGCCAGGATAAACAGCCCAAAATTGGCTTTTCATAATTAGGTTTTACTGGTATCACGGCATACCGGGGTATCAAAATTGATAGTTATCATGCATGTACATTTGCTTATCTATGGTATTGGGAGGAAATGTGCAGACAGGACCAGTCTGTGATGAACCTTCACTATGTGTTAATTGTTAGTAATTATAGGACATTATTTTAAAAAGCTGATTATTTTAAGCTAGTTATTTTAACATGTCACAGTGCTGTTGGCAGGTAAACTAACATGCTTCAGTTATATAAAATGTTCTGTTCCTTATTCAGAATCCAAACAGCAGCAGTGAGTGAGTAAACAATCGTTAATGTGCGATCTTAAATTGAGTAAAGTTTGACGTAATTATTTGATGGTGTTGCACCTTGCCACCATGCTGAGCAACACACAGTTGAAAATGTCTGCTCTGCTGTAGGCACGCTGTCGTCAGTGACTGATTATTGCACAATTGTTCACACTTGAGTTCACAACACTTCTTCAGGGGTAGAGTTTGTGTAACAGGCAGCAAATGCGGGATTTGAGTGATCAACGTAAGTGAGCTTCATGCAGTTATCATGATGTCGACATCACACACAGTTTGATATTCAAACACTGGAGTTTGCCCGTAAGTAAAACAGACATTTCCCTGCGTTGCTTGTCTTCAGTTAGGTTAATAATGGTGTAATTAGCTTGGTGCCCTTTTCAAACAAGGAAACACACATACTATTATATCAACAAAGAGTATCTAATAAAGGGTAGTGAGGCTGCCTTTGTCCTCTCAGAACATTTGCAGTTCGCTTTAGGACGGCTTTCAGACAGGTGTTGGTCTAGTGTGGTGGGATAGCCTAACAATAGGTTAAATGATCATTTGGTCCGGTCATTGCAGGGACAACAAGCATTTTGTATGTGTTGTTGAGGAAACCCGCCTCACTGTGGAGCCAATTAAACATTAGATTAGCTGGTTATCCAGAAAATCAAACATTCAGGTCAAAATGACCAGTTAGGTGCAGGTTTTCTCTCCGAGTAGTGTTGTATCATTGTAAACGTATGCTGTATGTATGTAACAAATCATTACTTACAGCCAGTGCAGCTGGCAGGCTATGCTTTTCATAAGTTGCCATGCAATTCCAGAGTGTTCCACTTGCCAGATTAAATCGACCAATTGTATGACCAGTTAATCTCAAATTCAAGGACCAACTAAAAGGCTTCTTCGGAACTCGGTCAGCTGCTTCATTTTGTTTCCATAGAGCTGAACATTTACTGCGTGGTGGCTTTAAATTCCACATTTTACATGACTTCTCTCTGTTGATGTGTCAGCTGTTGTGATGGTTAATTCAAAGTTTAGGTGAGCTGTTATGTAGCGCTCCTGTTACAGTAAGTCTTGCCCTGCACATCTCAAATGCGGGAAAAGTGAGTGATAATAGCTTTTACGAGGGAATAAAGTACCACTGAAAGGTTCGGAAGATGCGGCAGGGGGCCTTCTGAGTCTGTTGCCTTCAGTGCAAGCCACACAAGTCTTTGTGATTACATATTGTATGCCACTCTGTTGCACAATCGCCAATGATTAATGAGCAAAAATGTCAACCGTTGCTGGATAAAAGGTTCTCAAATGTAGGGATTATCTGAATTTCTTCGGTTTGCATGATTGCAAATGGATTCTAGTGATGGACATGTTTTACTAATTTCCGATGGTATAGAGCAAGAAATTAACCAATTATCAGCGGAATAATTAACGGAGTGAAGTGATCATGAAAATATGAATTTATTGTAGCCCTAGCCCCATCCTCATGGTTAAATAGAAACTGCTATATTATGTCCCCAGGGCCCAACTAAAGAAAAAACAAATCATTAAAACTTCTCCCTCAGCACAGTGGTTCTGATCATACATGTACATAACATTTGCATGTTATCTGCATCAATATCATTATGGGAAATGGGAATACGGGAAACACATCAATCCACAGCTTTTTTTTTCCTCCCAACAGACTGTAGCACAACTGCAATCACATGACACCATCTTTTCCCCAAACATTTGCAAACACATCAGAGAGCTGATCACCTTGCAAAAAAAAGAAAGAAAAAGATGCAGTGCTGAAGATTGGCAACCATGCAGCTCACCAGAAGCCAATCAATGCAACATTAACAGGGACAGCCAAGCATCTGGCACTTGGCTCACGCATCTTTCTCTACACACACACACACACACACACACACACACGACTGTCAGGGCATTCAGATGACTGAGGCGTCTTTATGTGTTTCTCCCAGTAACAGATGGGATCTGGCGCGGAGAGAGAGCTCGACTTCTAGAGAGGCTGCAGTCAGAGTGGACTCCTGTTTCCTGCAGTGCGCGTAAATGCCAGTCTGGCTACACTGGTGCGGCACACGTATTGGAGAGAATCGGATAGCCTCCAACTCCCACTCTGTTACGGAAGCCTGTCTATCATTCATAACTCCACCGAGGCGCTGTGCGCAACGACACCCCAGGGAGCAAAAATTGAGGCGAGAGCCACGTCCACTCCTTATAGCCGGAAAAATGAGTGCGAGAAAAGTGCGCGCTCTCTTGCTTCTTTCTGCTCTTTGCCAAAAATTAATTTGCAAATACGCACACAGTCAAACTCGCTGCTTATGAGCGCGCGCACATGCTCCCTCGCGCACAATACTCCTATTGATTTGCCAGCTCTGTCAACCGCAACGCATTAGGGCTATAGGCGGGGGCACACGCCCGCGCCTCTGTCACGCGCACAGGTGCAATGGCAAAACTTACACTCCAATACAGATAACAGCTCAAAGCCACACAAACTTATTTGTCTCTCTTACCTGTCCGCGTGAACACGCATGGCAACTGATTAACGGCGAAAAAGATGCACGAGTTTGAGTTTGTTCCTCATTTCTCTTTTCCTCCGTCTCTCCTTCAGTTGTAAAGTAATGCTGCCATCCTCTCCAGAGCAGAGCTTGACTGCACGGCTTGCGGAGAGCCGATACTCTCCCTCTCCTTCCGTGTGAGTGTGCGTGTGTGTGTGTGTGTGTGGGCATCTCTCCTCCGAAGCATCCTCCAATCCCGCCCGGCTACTGCGGCGGCTCAGGCAGAGGGAGGCATCCGATTGGTCGGTTTTCACATCAATCCGTAGCTATCAGGCTCGGACCGGCCTCCCCCACTACCTCTCTCTCCATTATCTCCCTCTCCTCCTCTGCTACTCTATTAACACGTGATTATATAAGATAGTGATCAGGAACGTTCTCCCCGTCTTATTTTCTTACACACAAACACACACACACACACCTAGTGCCAGACACAGCCTACCTTCCTAGACTGTCCCAGTAGGATAGAGAGCTTCAGCAATCAAGAAAACTGCACCCATGCTGGCTCAAACTCTGGCCAGACTTGTGGGGGCTGCAGACTAAATGTTGCACTGATTTATTATATCTTTTTTTTAAAACAGGAAATAAGTGTTTCAAACTCCCATGCCAAAACCTCAGCGTGAAATCAAAATGAAGAAATAGTTTTTGTGACGTATTGCATTCAAGATTCATGATGTCATGTCTCTCTGACTTCATATGGTCAACATCTATGTGAAATGTTAACAAAAGCATTAAAACAGTTAGAAAACATAGGCAACTATTTAGTAATACCTTTATAGCATTGCATAGAACTTGGTGTATTGCTGGGGGGGCCCATGAGGTGCTTTGTCGAATTTGGTGCAATTTGGACACAAGACGTGTTCAATAACAATAAATTTATTGTTATTGAACACGTCTTCACAAAAAAACAAAAGCAGAGACTCTGTGTAGCCTCATGGGCAGAGCTTCAGGACCCTGCAGTCCAACATGTCATCCGCAGCGGGAAGACAGCGGCTCATTGACTGCAGTTGACTTTGGCTGCTAACGCTGCATGAATGCTGGATAACCCGAACTTTTCCTCACTTTCCTGGAGTCAACGAGCACGAGCAGAGGAGAGCCTACAGGAAAAGCATCACTCTGCCATTGCAAGCTCAAATTATGTACGTTTTTTGCCCTACTAACTTTTAACTTCACCACGGGCAAAATACTTCTGTTCATTACCTCCAAGCAGTAGATTTCACCGATATTCTGACTGAGTAACCCGGACCTGGGTGCATTTTTCAGGGGCTTATAAATTGTTGTTTGCATTGATACCATTTATAACACAGATTTGGTGGTAAATTTAACCTTTTTTGACCATAGAGAATTGATAAAAATTGCCGAAAGACCTGTAGGGACATCATAAAAAACATAATGTGCTGTGATTTGGCATCAAAACTTTTCACATTTGGAGGTTTCTGCAAGAATTGTATTTTCCTGCGTTTGGATGGTGAGCGCTTCCTCTTATTGTCAATATATCTTGGAAAGCCATACATCCTCTGATTGCCCGCGGCCTGTACTTTGTTCTTGTAAGTGAGGACATAGTTTCAAAAGAAAAATGGTCTCACTACAATTAAAAGGCTAAGATGGGGACCAACATGCTCACACAATACAATCTAGCTCATTGGCTCCATGACTCAGTTCTCTCAGTCGTCCAGTCATTTCCACACAGTACCTTCACTCTCGCTTTACAACTGCTTCAGCCCTTGAAAGACCGTAATGTCAGCTGACGTCCTTGGCAGTTTCCAGACATAAACAGTCTAGCAGTCCAATATTTCATAAAGAAAACATGAAGAGTCGTTTAGTTTTTCTGCTTGAGATTTGGCAATCATCAAGAGTTGAGTTACTTTCATCCCCCAGAATCTCGATAGCGCCATCAGCAAAGCACGGCTACCAATTACTCCAGTTAGTGCAGAAGAGTTAGGAGAGTGAGGTCAACATCAAAGCAGTGGATTTTGGGAAAAATATTCTGACGATTCATGGAGTTTAATTAGCTTGTATGGCCTTGCCTAAGAAAGAAAGTGTGTAGCTTTTCAATAGTTAAGAAGAACATTGTGGGCTTTTAATGGGCTGAAACAATGGACTGTCAGTATCCTGTATCCTTACAACCACTCATCCCATTAAGTGTACACCTCTGCCCACAATACATAGCTTCTGTCTACAGACAACAGGGTGCATCAGTAGTTGGCTGTGTTCTCTTTTCAGCTTCCATACTTTTTACAAATCAAAACAATGGATGATGACATGAAGAGGAAAATACCGTTCTAATGTGTTCAGTGTCATTTTCTCCGTGTGTGGGATTGCTGACTTCATGATGTCAACATAACCCCTCCTTTATCCCCTTTACAGAATAATAACAAAATCCAACACAACTAAGAACCTGTTCTGCCCTTTAATCGCACAAACTCAGATATGCCTCACTTATCCACTCGTCCACAGAAAGCATTTTTTGGGGTTTCAAAATACAATCACATCCTGCTACGAACACTTCTCAGCCTGGCTGCTCTATTTTTTCTTTTTTTGGGTAGAACACTCTTATGCTTTGACTTTCACTCTTTCTTTTTCCTCTCTATTCGTTTCTGTCAATCAATTGGTCTGTTTGTCAATCAGTCATACTGTCTCGTTCTACCTCCCACTCCTCCACGCTCTCTTCCACACACACACACACACACTAATTTTGCTCAGGTACCCTTGGGCCGGCTGTTGAGTCTGCCCATGAATTCAGCCGTGCTTTTGCTCTCTCTGGATCCAAAGGGAAACTTAATGAATAATGAACAGAGCAGTGAAAGCAATGGGCGCGGGTGTAGGATGAGGAGATGGACAGCACGAGAGAGAGAGAGAGAGAGAGAGAGAGAGAGAGAGAGAGAGAGAGAGAGAGAGAGAGAACCCAGGACATGATGGAGAGATGGAGGGAGGGTAACTTGTTAGTGTTCACTCATCAATTAGGCTGCAGAGGAGACATGAAGAGAATGGAAGGTGATGCGTCATGGACAAGTGGAGGAGGGGAGGGGAGGGGGTGAAGGTCTATAAACTAAAGAGTGTGCTTGCTGAGGAGACAGATTAGGCATCAGAGACGAGGAGGCGAGCAGTGGGATGAGAGGGAGAGGGAAGTGGACATGGAGAGGCAGGGGTCTCGAAGACGTCAGAGGCTACTCAGCATACTGCCTCCAGCTTCATCTATCATCCAGGCCCAGTTCTTCCTGCCAACACAACTGTGTCTCTGGTCCACATCCAGAGTTGGCACACAGCTTCAAACGGGCTCTAAAGTGGACGTGCTCAGTATATTAAATTATAAGTAATGACTCTACTTGAAACTGTAGATCGGTATTTTTCTTTTTTGTCACCGACAGAAAAAAATAGATCACACTTCCTGAAATGTAGATGTTACATTACTGCCAAATGGGACTGTTTTGTGGTAGATGGGCATGTTCTGTTCAGGGTTTGCCATTGTGTTTTGCAAAAACATTGCAAACCACAGGATAATGTTGAAAAGCAAAAACACATTTCTTGAATACGTGTCATGTCAGCCTCGTATCACGCTTGCAGAAACGCACAATACCGCTTGGTTGAGGTTATGAAACAATTTGTTATTTTAGGTTAGAAAGAAGGTCATGGTTTGTGTTAAAATAGTAACAAAATAACGGCACAGCAACGAAATAGCGTGACACCATAACTATAAATAACAAGCGCCTCTACATAACAAGCGTAAACTCAACGTTTACTTTAGGTTTCACACAGGACACAAACAGGAGCCCCCTTGGTGAGAGTCCTGACAAATTAAAAATAATACCATATTTTATTGGAAGAGCAAGGTTGGGGTGTGTTTCTCTGACTAATGATGCAAGCTGTATCCTCACCGTCTGGGAAGTCTCAATCAGTATTCTGCCAGCCACTGTGCAAGAGTTTTGATTGGTTCTGGATTTTGAACATTTCTCGCCTGTGGTTACCTGCACACAAGTGAGGCATAGACTGTTTATTTCAAAAGAGAGCTTTCCAAGTGACTAGAATCTCACATTAGGTATGAGGCCCCAGCTCCTTCCTGTTCTGTATGCCAATCGAGGAAGGCTTAGCAGACTCTGGACATCATTCACTAACAATGTGGAGATGCATGTGTCACAGCGGAAACATCCCATATAGGGAGCTTGCACTAATAGCCGTCGGTTCAATAACCTGAGAATATCACCTTAAAAACTCCCACCTGTGCAAGTGTCTTTACTTGCTGAAACAGCATCTCATGCTTGATGCTGTTCGTTTTAAAACATGGTGTATGAATTTCGAAACAATTTTCTCGGAAAAAATAACAGTAAAATAGTAGCAAACAGGCTGCAAACCAACGTGACATTTGTGCAAAGTGCATAGATTTCACTGAGGGTTTGTTATTAATGAGGGCCAGGAGAGCCTTCTTGCACATACAGTGTATGAGTGTGAAAATCTGTAAGCACAAACGCCTCTCCCTAACGACAAGCTGCACAAGGGTTACTCGGGTATCGATCCAAAGAGCCATTTCTCTGCAGGATGTCTATTTCCTTGACATGTTTTTAACGACAGGTCAGTGGATCATTTTGCCAGGGGGGTTAATTGCTGGAGAGCTTTTAACGATGCACTGAGATTACAATGTGTTCTGCGGACAAGTTTACGAGCTTTTTAACTTGCATCAGGACATATTTGTTTGCTGCGTACAGAATAGCCAGTGTCTTTTTTTTTTTCTTCTCTTTTATAAATGGTGCAAACTGGTTCTGTAAACCCTCCATACATAAGAGATATTTGGTCAATTAATCACAGCTAAGCAGAACGGAGGGATTACGCACTTGAGTGAATCTCATTTCAAGCTGCTGGTTCGGGTGGGTGTGTGCACGGGAATGGCTGTGGACACAGACAAATGGTGGAGGCAGCGGACTCTGCTGGAGCTGGGAGACACACATCAGCAGGGTAGGACTGGACATTTGTTTGCCTCCCGCAACACTTCTAATTCTTATACGGCTGACGAGCATCAAGGTTACACCGCACACCGCCATTAAAAAAACATATACTCTTCGCTCAGTACAGAATACTGTGGTACGGTTACCCCTGAGCACTTACCCTGCCAACACAACTTGCTGCTCAGGAATCAAAGAAATTGTTGTATTT